GCCATAACTTGTTGTCTAAACTCCTCAAAACCATCAAAAAAAAATAATTTGCGTTGACCCGATCATATTCGGCTGAGGCCTTGTACTCCTCTATGGCAGAAGATTTTTCAATCATTAGCCTAGCTTGGAAATGTTTTTCGATCCTTTCTTTCTCTCTAGTGCAGCCGATCTCAACCTCTTTCCGAATTACCCTTTCAGCTGTCAGCTCCACATCCAATGCTAATATAGACTCTTCGGAGAGCTTCGTACGTCGAGATAGCTCTTTAGCGAATGCTCCCATCTACGTGCACAAGTAAAATTATTAGTTATCGACAAGCTAAGGAATAAACATTACTCAAGAGTAAAATGAGGTAAGACGACCTTACCTTGCAAACAGTCTGGGCATGAAAAGCTAAGAGCTACTCGGAGGGAAGCCCCTTGAGCCTTTTAGAGTCATATGGAGGCACGAGCATGTTCTCAACTATGTCATTCACATAGTTCACATCATTCAAAATAGATGCACCAGTTTGATGAGTAAAGGCATTTTCAGGGAGGTGCATTCCTGTATCAAAAATCTGTTCATGAGCAGCTGCAAGGGGAGTGTCGTCAACAGGAGTAGGATTTCCTTGATTTTGAAGTGGTCGAGTTCTCTGAGGATAACGGGGAGGTGTAGCCTTCTCCTTAGAACGCTCTTCCCGAACCTGAGAAAGAACGTCACTCCCAAATCTCCTCGTCGACAGGGACGAGGAGCCCTGTGGCGAGGCTTTACTTTTAGCACGCTCCTCCTGCACCTTGCCAGAATATCTTTCTCAAACTTTCGCCCCGACGACATGCTAGGTGAACCTAAGTCACAAAATGTGATACCCCCGGATTTCCGGATGCAGGTTGGCCAGGCCCACGCCCGATTACCTGAGGATATCAAAACAATTAGCAATTTAATGAACACAGAATACAATATAGAAAATAAGAATGAATAAAATTTTGCTGAAAAGAACCTAGAATGATAATCCAATAATTGAAAACCTCAGAATAAATAATTTCATTGATAATTAAAACTATTTTGATACAACTGATCCACCACGAATGGAAATCGTTCTCCAATTTATACAACTCGGGAATCCATCTAGTGGACCCCTAAAATATCCAATGGTACTCAAAAGACTAGAACAAAACCCAAGTCTTAACATGAAATAAAATCCTACGCCATCAGTAGAGTGAATAACTGTATCTGCTCAGCACGATCAAGCTCTACAGCCCAGAACTGACGAACACCTGAAAAAAATAATAAAAGGGTGGGTCAGGCCCACGAGCAAGTTCTAATCTAACTGCAATCCATACAGTGACCCGATACGCAGATACACCATAGATACCTCACAATATCTATCTAGTCCATACATATATATATCCACACTATGGGACATTCACTGAACTACAGTAGGGATCTCAACCTGAATAGAAGGCAACATGTGAATACGCACCCAAAGGTGGGCATGAGGACCTAGACCTAACAGGGTACACCCAACCTACTACAACCAACAACACATCCACTGCATATACGCACCCTAACCAACAAGTTTGAGACTCAAGCTCAACTCGTGGTACCATAAACATATATATCTAAACTCCGTTCCTAACCATTCACAAGAAATCCAATAAGTCATTCGGCGTATTCAACCGTACCGACTTATATATATATAAGGAAGATTTATTTAACAACCCGTTCCCTTATTCCAAAATAGGTAGGACTGAGTATTTTAAATCAGTCTGTCCCTAGTATACCACCGTCCCATACCGGTGCATACAATCCACAAAGTCCATATAATTGATAGAACCAGTCATACTGTTCACCAATTAAAATCCATAAGGTAGGAATTAGCATTTTGAGCTAAACCATACCTAGTATGCCACCGTCCCATACCGGTGCATACCATCCTCCATATCCATGTAAATTACAACATTCAAATGATAAGCAAGTAATTTACAATGCAAAACCAAACCCAGATAATTGACAGAATTTTAATGTGAGAATTCAACAATTAAAATCCAATACATAATTCCAAATAATTGGTCAAATTTAATATAAGAATTCAGCAATTATAATCCAATATATGATTCCAAATAATTGACCGAATTAAGTATAAGAATTCAGCAATTATGTTCCAATACATAATTCCAGGTAAATTACAAGGCATAAATAATAAGCACGTAACTTATAGTCCAAAACCAACCATCCATATCATTGCAGAATAGTATTTAGTATTCCAATAACTTAAATCCAAAACCATGTAAATTACAGGCTATAAATAATAGTACAATAATTTAAAATCCAAAACCAATATTCAAATAATTACAGAAGATTTTTAAGTGTTTCAGCAATTTAAATCCAAACAATTAACCATATAGTTGCAGGAGATGATTTAATAAATCAACAACTAACATCCAGAGCTTGCATAGATTACATCTAACACATCAACGAACCTATACTATTTTTAAAACCATTTTATAAATATATTAAATCCCACTTGAATGCCTAAAAATAAGCTTAAGTATTTAAAACTTCATCTATCCACTAACCGTATACAATGTACATAAGTGTTATACAGTTTGATCCGTTAATTTAGAATTAACCTTAAGTCAATTTAGGGTCTTAATAACACCCAAAATTAACTATTTAATCCCCCCCGTGAAGTCTTATTAAATTTCTAAAATTTAATCAAACCATTTAGTTCATTTCTCTGTTAGTAGCATACGCCATTGTATATTTTTACACTGCCATATCCTTTGTCTTAGAGACTTAAACTATGCAACAATAAGTTTAATATCACTTAAAATTAACGACTTAGATCCTCTGTTAAGTCCCTACAGTTCATTAGAATCACTCAGAAGCTCAAACAATGCTCAAAACACCAAACAGAGCCCTAAAAACACTTTCTGGACGTAAAAACAAATTGGAGCCGGCTCTTGGAATGGAAGAGCCGGCTCTTCCCCTATTGGAGCCGGCTCCAATTCCCTAGGAGCCGGCTCTTGCTGAAGGGGAGCCAGCTCTTGACTTTCGAGAGCCGGCTCTCTCCCTCTTGAGAGCCTCCAGTTCATCCCTGCTCCGTTTCCGTCAATCTGCTCCTTCTCCGATCAATTCCTACCCCTCTGCTTGTTTCTTAAACTGATCTAAAGGATCTAACACCCTCCTGATAGCATCCCCAAGGTTTGATTATAGCAATTTAAATCAATTAACAGAAGTAAACTTGTGCAAAAACTGAAACCTCATGCATGGATTACAACGAAGCAAAATGCAACAGAGATCTAAAACAGAAATAGCAACCTTCCTATGAGATTTACATAACTCCCATAGTCTTTCCATACTTAGTTTACAGTAGTTGCAATAAAAAAACAGAGACAAAAACTACGACAAGAACCCTCATGATTAAAGGAGATAAAACTGAACCAACTTGCATGCACTGTAACAAATATTGCAGAAATCATCACAGAAATAATTCAAAGCATACATATGATTAATTTGATGTATAACATACATGAATGATTTAGTTGTTAATTTCCTTAAAACCCTAGAGCATATCTAGGTGCACAGAACACGGCTCAAAGGGAAAGAGGAAGATAGAACTTGCCTGAATAGGTTTGCAAACAAACCCTTGTTGCCGTTGGTCTCAGTTTTTCCGACATCCACTGAAACTTGTCTAACCTCCTGGAACCTCTGCTCCTTCCTTCTCCTTGGTTAAACCTTGGAACCCCAGTCGAAGTTCTCACAAACAGCTCTGTTCTCACCAAAGCTCCCTCTGTAACTCTCTCTATTTGGCAGACTTTTCCGTGTAAAAGCTACGACAATATGTAACCCTAGGTTTAACATATACTGAGGTATTTATAATTACAAGATTAAAACCCTAATCTACAGAGCCTTAACTTCGTCGGCCCACAAAGTAACCCAGTTTAGATACATATCAGATGCTTACGAGACGGCTCCAAAAACCCTAACTAAAACGTATCTAAAACCCCAGTTAATGAGAATTACATAATTACCCTGTTCAAAAATTAAATACTTAATAAATAATTAATTTAATAACACTCATTAATTAAATCAAATAAGCAAGCAACGAATCACTTAAAACACATAAAAAAAAATAACATAATGAATTAAAATAAACAAACAATTGGACACATAAGTATATAGATACAAAAATAAAATTTAAATTCCATTTTTATCCCTTTTGAAATTAGGGGTATTACACAAAAGGGAGGTTAGTGTTTCAAAAGAGAAATAACGGGAGTCATACAAAGCATACCTTCTGTAGACGCTTGACATGAAGAAGACACTACACCCCGACAAAGTCCAGCAGTGAGCAAAAAAATATGTATATATATATATATATATATATATATATATATATATATATATATATATATATTCCGGTGGGGACAGTTGCCCCAACTGGGCCTTCACTAGGCTCGTGCAAGTCCGGCAGTGGTGTCTTTCGTGGGTTACGGCTGATTCTGAGTTCGATGAAGGGTTAGAAGAGTTGAATTCTTAAATCCGAACACAATATAATTAACTAAAGTGTCTAGTTTGATTAAAAGATCCCCGGCCATACTAATTATTGTTTAAATTGACATTGTTGGATCCATTCTCTTATTATTTAATTTTTCGAGCAATTGGTGATCTAACAGGGTAATAGAGCCTTCGTTGGGGGTTCTTGAGTTCAAGCCTCCATCTCTCTACATTTGTTCGCCAATTTCACATGTTGCAATTGATATGCATTGTTGTGGTCACTGTGCTGAACCTCAAAAAAAATTGAAGAGTGAATTAGGCCTAATGCGAGCCCCAACCCAACCTGATCTCTAACTATCCCTTGAGCCCAATACTTTTTAAAATACGGGTTTGCTCAAGTTGGTCCAGCTTGATCCGTTTACATTAATGGGCTTAAGTCCTTTCTTGTTATGGGCTACTATTTCACTTCTTTTGTACCGTGGCCTTGAGGCTTGCCCATATATAATGAACCACTGTAAATTTATACACATCAATATACCTGGCCCAACTTTCCAAGAAAAAATAAATAAATAAATTGACGTTAGTACTTAAAATTATAAAGGCGCCAGAAGTATTTGCTAATGTGTTTTTTTTTATAAATAACGATGAGAAACAGTGCTAATGATGAACAACCTATTATTATTATTATTATTATTATTATTATTATTATTTTATGTATTTATTTATTATTATTATTATTTTAATAATAATAATAATAAATAAATAAATACATAAAATCTCTCCACTTCCTCTTGTAACTAATACAATATTACTCAAACATATAACTAATTAAAGGATCACCAAAGCTGCTCCAACATGGAGTTTGGTTCGAAATTTATTTGCGTGATTTTTTGCTACTTTTCTCTCGGTCTCCATCGACTCCCACAGAGTTCCCATATCGCATGGATGGCGAGCACTCTTGATTAAATACATTGCAGGCTCATTATCCATCATTTGCCCAACAAACCCAATGAATTCCACCTCCTTAAGGTTCTGATGGGGCCAACCTTTCACAATTTGCCATTTTCTTTCCGAAGTATATTTTGTATATGAAACCTGTAACAAGAACAAGGAGGAATGGAATCATACAGTGTATATGCAAGTCAAGCTTTAGCATACAAAACCAAATTACCAACCACATTCAGGGCAAATTAGAATCACAACATAGCATTGCAAGGCTCGGGGAATTTTTTTTTTTTTTGTTTTGACTTTAGTCACCCAATCATAAATAACTATTCTGCCTAATATAAGATTAAGTGGACATGCAAATTAATAGAGACCTTTAATCAATCCATAAAAAATAAAGAAACAAAAAATTACTTGAAACATTTAAGAAATAATAAAATCAAGACAAGTTTAGATGCGTAAGAAATGACACCAGATGGATTAACAATCATGAGAATAAAGCAATCTAAGAACGACTTGTAACATATTAAAAGACCACGTGAAACTCTCGGGATGTAAAGAACAATAAAATAATATTTATTTATTTACAAAATACTTGAACAATCCGGAGAATAAAGCAAGCTAAACACTGTAACAACATTTTTCCTATTAGTGGTAATATGGTAATTTGTAATAGCCATACAAAGAAGCAATTACTTGGAAAAATTAAAAGCTTTTAAGCCGAAGTCCAAATGAGACAAAATTTCCATTTGAAAATTCAGTTAGCAGAGCAATAAACTGTGTGAAGTTTAGAAATACAAGTGGTAAAGTAAGACTTATTACCTCCAAGATAAATTTATACAAGAAAGGACATGCCTCCATGAGGAGAGTAAAAATCAATAGGCAATCACCCTCAGCCATCCTAAGACTCAACTTCAGTTGCTTTAGCTGTATTAAATACTGGAAATTTAGTAAACAGAATTTTATTCTGAATAAACCAAAGAAAAAATAAATCAGCACAGATTGATAATTATGTTAGATAGTCAAACTTACTAACCTTCAGGATGTAATACATCTTCAATGTAAGGCTCTCTAGCCGAGAAAGATAGCTTGAAATCTCGACAAAGTTAGACATTAGATCGGTGCAATAGTCACCCCCGATATACAATTCAATAGGCTCCTGAACATTCTTGAATGGCCAGTTTATGGCCATAGTACTTAAATGACACGAGATTCGTTGCATAAATCTCAATACTTTCCACATTGAAGCATAAATATATCTCCAAACGCTTCAATTTGACCGATAGATCGAGACTTTCAGATATTTTCACAGACAATTGTTCCAAATATGGGCAGTTGATTAAGAGATACTCGAGAACTTGCCCAGTTACATTCACATATGACAACACGAGGTTGGTCAAGTAGATGCAGTTAGTAAACCCCAAGAGACTTTGAATGCAGGTGATTTGTATTAGGAAAATTGTAATTCTCTCCCTCTTCTCTATCATAATCCTTCATTAGTGACAAATCTAACACAAGCCTTCTAACTCTCTTTTTCATTGCAAAGTTAAGCCAATTGTCAATATCAAATCTACAAGTTACATCAAGATCAAAATGAACTCTGAATTCATTTATAGTTGGAGCGTTGTGTGATTTCATGACTTGGTTAACCCAACTCAAATACGAAGGCCTTTCTACTTCAACTTCCTTATCACGCAGTAGAAATGCATCAATTATATGTGAGGCATCAAAGTTCAAAGCAGCAATGTAAGTCCACATGTACCTCCATCTCTTTGAAAGCAGACTACTTCTTCCAGCTTCTTTCATTGTCAATAGTGACTATTGAAACGAGTATAACCAGGGGTGGAGGAAGGGGTGGGCCAGCAGGGGCCTGGCCGCCCCCCCCCCCCCTCCAAAATTTTTTTTTTTTTTTCATTAGTATACATATAAAAAAATATATATATATGATTTACTACACCTGGCCCCCCCACCCCCAAGACATTCAGCCGAATCAGCCCTCAAATTAGGGAACCGCGCACAACCAAAATTTCCCTCCGCCCTTCCCTCTTGCCCTAACCTTCTGTTCTTCACCTTCTCCCGAATCTCCATTCTCCTCCACCTTCAGGCTTCACACAAACTGACAATCTGTTGGACCACCACTTTGCTGAGGATGCAAATTGCAATCTAGGACATGGTCTGGGACTCTGGAAGACTATCGAAAAGGTCTTTTTTTTATTTTTTTTTTTTGCGATTTGCCATTCTCTCTGTTTTTTGTTCTTGCTATTTGCCTTGCGATTTGCCATTGTTGCTATATTTCTTCATGATGAATGAAGTTGATTATTTGAAATTTTGCTTTATTTCTCCTTTTGATGGAATTCTTTTCCAATTTTTATTCTGAAATTCAACATCTGAGCTTTAAATGTGAGCTATGTCTGGTCTGATTTTTATTTTTTGCTGTGGTTTTCCAGTGAGAGAGAGTTATACTTTTGAGGGGAATTGAACTACAAATCAAAAAACATGATGATCTCTTTTATATGAACAGAGAAGTAAGGTCTTTTTGTCAACAACAAATTCTTGCCTGGAACTATTTAATATTATATATATATATATCTTGATTCCATTCCATGCCTTTGATGCACAAATTAGAAACAGCTTTTTATGTTAAAGGACTTGAAGTTTACATTATTCATGAATGCACGCTACCCTGTTTCAGGCCTTGCTTCAGGCTCATTTTTTTTTTTTTTTTTTTCGGAAAGTGCTTCCTGTTTTGTTTATATATCAATTATGCATATCATATGTTTAACCCTCAGAAGTTAGAACTGATGCAATATATAGTTATATACTTACACCATGTCATATACCAGTATTAGTTATAAACACAGATAAAACTCAAAATCTTTTGAAGTCATTATCTATTAAATAAAAACCAACATGGTGTAAATACCATGTTTTTTTACAATCTTCCAAAAAAATTTTAGGAATAATTTGTTGTTCTTGTTGGTTTTGATTAGTGAAGTTAATGAGGATATAGCATTTTTACTTGATAAATGCGAGCTATGTCTTTGTTCCACACTCCGGCCCCCCCTTACATTGAATCCTGGCTCCCCCCCCCCCTGAGTATAACATCAGGAAGTTCACTAATGCGATCCTCCAAACACCAGCCTCCTCCTTAATCATCCTTCTCAGTAGTCCAATTAAAGATTAAAAAATAATAATAATAATAATAATAATTAAAAAAAAAAAAAAACTGTGAGATAATAGGGTAGTGCTGAATTTTTGCAACAAAATTTCTTGATTTAAAAATAAAAAATATAAAAGAGGCATAGAAATCCATAGATACATTAGTTAAAAAAAGATGGTACCTTGCGTTCTGAGCACAACATATTGAGGTGATTTTCTCCATGATGAACTAATTAGAGAGATAGAATAACCGAAAAAAAAAAAAATTAGAAAGAGAGAGCAATTTTGTGTTGTGTATAAAACAAACAAGCACACTCATAAAGCCACTAATCGATAGAGAGGAAAAGAAAACAACTTTATATAGATTAAGGGCGTTAAATTGAGTCTGGAAAGTAATGTTAATTTGGGTTTGTACCAACTTGGAAAGTAGTAATACTGTAGTATGTTTCCTACTCGGATTAGGCAACTAAATAAATAATACTGGTTTAACCTTCAAAAATAAATAAATAAATAAATATCCCATTTTTGTTTCTCCAAAGAAGGAAAATTTATCATAATGAAAGCAAAACTTACATAGATTCCTCCTATTTTGCTGATTCTTAAATAAAATAAATAAATAAATAAATAAAGAGAAAATCCGATATTTTGTTTCTTACAAGAAGGAAAAAGAAAATTTACAGAAAGCAAAACTTACAAGATCTTGTAGATTCCTCTCCTATTTTGCTTGCTCTTCAAGATCCTTGAGAGAGACGGGGAGTGGAAGCTGTACAAGACTGTCTTCAAGAAATTACCCTCATATATCACGAAATCGGATATTTTCATGATGACACAAAAATTTACAGAAGAGATTTTCATGATGATACAAAAATTTACAAAATCTAGCAAGTGTTGCGCCTTCAGATCATCATCCTGGAGAGAGAGAGATAGAGAGTTGGGAGTTGTATCGCATGCCGATGGCTCTGAACTGAACACATCTGACACAGGGTTAAACATAAGGGCTGAGATGGGTTAATGAATTAACTTTTTGGTCTTGCCAATGAAATGATGTGAGTTGGGCTCAACCTTTTTATATGTAGAATGGTAAAATACCATTGGGCCTTTCAGGTAACCAGTTTTCATGGCCTTACGTGGTTTATTCATCTTGCATTGTCGATTACGTGGTGAAGGCACATAAAATAATTCTCAATTGTTAAGGGTAATTCTTGACGTTTAGTAAATAAATGTATAAATTTGTAAATTAATCTGTCTACTTTTCTATAAAAATAAAATAAATTTGTATAAATTTGTAAATCATCCCATTTGTGAATTCACGCCAATAAATTTAAATTAATTAAAAAATAAAATTGACTCCCGTAAGTAATATAAACATCACAACACTATTATTCATTCACATCCTCACCACTATTATTCATTCAATTTTATGTGTTACATAGACAATGTCCAAGTCATTTTTCTAGAGAAAAATAGAAAAATAAAATAGAATAGTCACCAGTTTTGCTTCCGGGCATATTAAAAAAAAAAAAAAAAAGGGCTTTGATAGGCTTATTCTTCATGCGTGTTGGGAAGTACAAAAGTATTTGCGAATGTGGAGAAGAACACAACCCATTATTATTAGTATTATTATATTAGTATAATAATAATAATAATAATAAATAAATAAATAAATAAAATCTCTCCACTTTATAATCGTCTAATAAATAGATTATACAAACATATAACTAATTAAAAAATCATCAAAGCTGCTCAAACAGAGAGTCTGATTCGAAGTTTCTCAGCGCACTTTCTTACTAACGTTTTTTTGTTTGGTCTCCATAAACTCGAATGGAGTTCCTATAAGTGGCGGTATGCGAGTATCAAAAGTAATTTTTTCAAGATTGAAAGCACTCCCGATTAAATACATTACAAGTTCAAGATCAATTATTTGCCCAACAAACCCATTGAATTCCACCACCTTAAAGTACTGATGGGGCCAACTTTTCACACTTTGCCATTTTCTTCTCGATTTGTAATTGGCATAATCAAGCTATAACAAGGAGGCGGAGGAATGGAGTCACAAAGTGCAAGTAAAGCTTTAGCATACAAAACCAAATTACAGCAAATTAGAATCACAGCAAAACATATTAAAAGACCACCATGTGAAACTCCCAGGAAGTATAGAACAAAAAAATAAACTTATTTATTTACAAAATACTTGAACAATCCGGAGAGAGCAAGCTAAACACTGCAACAACATTTTTCCTATTACTGGTAATATGGTAATTTGTAATAGCCATAAAAAGAAGTAATTACTTGGAAAAATTAAAAGCTTTTAAGCTGAAGTCCAAATGAGTTCAAATTTTCATTTGAAAATTCAGTTATGTGGGTGAAGTTTAGAAAATACGAGTGGTAAAGTAAGACTTATTACCTCCAAGACAAATTTATATAAGAAAGGACATGCTTCCATGAGGGGAGTAAAAATCAGAAGGCAATTACCATTATCTACAGCAAGTTTCAACTCCAGTTGTTTGAGCTTATTAAATACAGGAAATTTAGCAAACTGAATTTTATTCTGAATAAACCAAAGAAAGAGTAAATCAGCACAGATTGATAATTATGTTAGAAAATAATTTAAAAAAAAAAAAAAAAAAATGAAGGGGATGAAATAAAATGAATTAGATAGTCAAACTTACTAACCTTCTCGAAGTACACTATCTTCAATGTAAGGCTCTCTAGCCGAGAAAGATAGCTTGAAATCTCGAAAAAGTTACAAATTAAATGGTTGCAATACTCACTCCCGATAAACAAATCAACAAGCTCCTGATCATTCTTGAATGGCATGTTTATCAAGTCTCCGAAGTACTTAAATGACATGAGATTCGTTGCATAAATCTCAGTACTTTTCACATTGAAGCATAAATTTATCTCCAAACGTTTCAATTTAACTGCTAGATCAGGAACTTTCAAATTTACGAGACTTTCAGATTCTTCCACAAACAATTGTTCCGAAAATGGACAGTTGATTAAGAGGTACTCGAGAACTTGTCCAGTTACATCCACGTATGACAACACAAGTTTGGTCAGGGAGATGCAATTAGTAAACCCAAGAAACTTTGAATGTAGGAGATTTGTGTTTGGAAAATTGTATTTCTCTCCCTTTAGTCTAGAAATTCCAGTCCTTTGTATGAATTCTAAGGCAAGACTTTTAACTCTCTTTTCAATTGCAAAGTCAAGCCAACTGTCAATATCAAATCTACAAGTTACATCAAGATCAAAATGAACTCTGAATGTATCTATAGTTGGAGCGTTGTGTGATTTCACGACTTGATTAACCCAATTCAAATAAAAAGGCCTTTGTGCTTCAACTTCCTTTACCCGGCTATCAGCCAGCATAAGTGCTTGGATTATATGCGAGGCATCAAAGTTCAAAGCAGCAATTGGACTCTTTTGTTGATATGAGCTGGGCTTTAGTCATTTCTTCCTGGACTGGTTTAAAGGCATATGTCCCTTCTTGATATGGGCTACTATTACTTCTTTTGTGTTTGACCTTGTCCATTTAATGAGCCACTGTAAAATTCACACACCTCAAGTATTCTTGCCTAACCCTACTCGGAAAAAATAAATATATATATATTGATGTACTTATAAATTATAATTAAATTATTACTGTCCTTTAAATTATTGACTAGTCTCATCTCGTGTGTGTGTGTGACTTTGTATATATATATATATATATATATATATATATATATTTTCTTTCATGTGTGTGTGTGTATATATATATGAAGTGGATCAAAAGGTCATATCGTGTGAAATGGGCAGGAGTTAGATCCATGTGTTGCAGTGTCCAGCATATGCAAAACCAAAGTCTGCACATTATTGGTTTGGTTATAGACCTTAAGTTGTCGCCTGTTTCGAGTACATTTCCATTTTTTTTGTTTCCTATTTATCACTACAATAATTTCAATAAACATAAATAATATATACATATACACACACAAACCTATATATATATATATATAGTAGGACCGTGACAGATGCCCTACTTCCTTCGATTCTGATTCCATGTATTACGGCAACACATTGAATTACTAAAGAAAGTTCACAAAGTTCCATTGTTTGGCAAGCATACAAATATAAAATTGAATTCTTACAAGAAGGAAAATACAATATATATATATATATATATATATATATATATATATAGATACTCCAAGGACTAATATCACTTGAAAATCTTAGAGAGAGGTGTGAGTACAATGACATCATGCTATCAATTGATCTATAAATACGAGGACCACCAAGGGTTGTAATTCAGTTGTCATTCTTAACCTTCCAAATCGAAAGATTAAAGGTTACAGAACTTAAAGGTTTTATTTATATATATATATATATATAGTTGGGAGCTAGGGAGAAAAAGCAATGCACGCGAGTAGAAGAATGGCCGAAGAAGCACCATCTTCTTCAAGATTGGAGGTGCTCCTCTTGAACTTGCTAGCTTTTCCTTTGTTGCATTGTATCTGGCGATGGTTGTGTTGTTGTTGTTGCTGCTGCTCTTGTTGCCTCTTCTTCATCGCTTCTTCCACATTAGACACCATTTTTATCTCTCACAACTACTTCAAGGAACTCAATATAAGTGTGTGTGTGTGAGAGAGAGAGAGAGAGAGAGGTTTTTTTTTTGAAAGGTGGAGAGAGAGGTTGTGAATGGAAAACAAACATGCATGAACTCCACTATTTATAGCCATAATGGTGAGCAAAAGTGCCCTTGGTTTCAACTCAGTAACACTATATCTTATGACTAAAGTACATCTATATATAATTAAAAAAGAATATATGTGATCAAATTCATGAGGCCAATAAATTTTTTGTCACAAATAATTGAATACACTGAATATAAATAATAGTCCTCACTCCTCACCCTTCGCATTTTAATGATTTGACTCTTACAAGTAGGGCCAATATATAAGATTTGCTGAAAAATGAAAAGAAAAATAAAAGTAGTCCCAATATGTTCCAGCCTCCGATATTTACCTACATTGGAGCGGATACAAAGAAAGACAGTCTCTCTACCCTATATGTTCATAGAAAGTTTTGATTAAATTACCTTCTCTATAAATTATAATAATAATAAATAAATAAATCTACTAAAATTCAAACTTCCTTTTTAATAATCACCAATTTTTTTCAGATTGGTTTAAAAATTTCTCGAACATATGAAGAAAAACATGTGTGACTTTTTTTTTATCTTTTTGATTAAATTCGAAAAATCTAATTATATATATATATATATATATATATATATATATATATATTGAAAGGTATATATAATTTAAATTCAAAATGAGGGATGTTGCGCTACCAAAGGAGTTGAAAACTCACCATCATTTTCCAAAATTGAGTAGCAACAATACTCTTCATTATCAAAAAATGTAATTTGTTTATGTTTAAACATTATATATACTTAAACCAACTGTTTTTTAAATTACTTTCAAATTATTGGTATAACCTCCTCAGCTGGAATTTTGGAAATATCTTACGTTGGATTCTCTATCTCGATGATTCCCCAAATGATAGGTATTATCAGATGTACATAATTTTATTAGCTGTATCATTTAATACTGTATGCATAAACTTTAATATATATAGGTTATATACATACTCAGACTGTGAATACAATTAAATAATACTACTATATTTATGCATATATATATATATATATATATAGTACACATTAACCATTGGTATGGCACAAGACAATGATTGGTCGATTGCATTTGTATGTGTTCCGACAAATTAACAACAAAGCACAGCACAATTAACAATAGACAGAAATTGAAATTACATGTCACATAAAATATAAAGATTTAACATAATGTACGTTCACAGAAAATAAAATAAAATTACTATGCCTAGAAGAAACAAAAATCTTAAGTCTGTCAAACCTTAATTGTCTCTCTTGCTTTCTATCTCGATTTTCAGTGTTCTTTCTAAATAATACAAACTCTAGTGCTTTTATATATCAAATTGTGATAGAGACTGTGATTCAAGTCGAGAAAACAAAAAATGAAATCAAAAATTTTATTTCAGCCAAAATCGAATCGCAACGTCATCTAAACTGAAATCACGACTTAATATGAGAAATAAAACAACACACATAAGAGAGGTAAAGTTGTAAAATATATATATATATATATATATATATATATATATATATATAGTTGTATTAAATTAAGAGTCTCAACCAATTAGAATTTGATGTTATTAGGTACTTAAATTGTAGGTTATAATATTGTACCAGCTTGCAGTTCAAAGATCCTTTAAGCCTTCATTGTCTAAAATTCTCAATTAATTAATTAAGCAAGAAGTCATCATGTGCAAGCCATGTAAGCATGTGCTAGTCATGATCCCTTTTGATGTGATAGAAGTTTGTGCTATTATTCTTCTAACCTAATTAATTTGTTTCTATATGTATTTTTCCCTTCAAATTCATTCCGAAAATCACCATTACAGTACGTTTTGTTTGGAGTTTATTATTAACAAAACCTTTGTAACTCAATTTTCTTAGGTAACGTGACATTTTTTTTTTTTTTTTTAATGTAAATGTTTAAAACCTATTCAAGTTGATCCACATACTTGAACGATTATATAATCACCTGTAAATTACATCGAGTAAATTTCAAAATAGTTAAACCTTATCACCTGAAAACACTTAAATTGAGCAGTTCGAAACTAGCTATGGAGTTGATTTAAAAAAATTCGTTCTCTCGATCAGCAACTTCACCAACTCATTCATCTTTAGAGCTAGAGTAATGATAGGAAGTTTGACAATCGGACAAATCTGATTAATTTTATGAAAAGAGCTAGAGTAGTGATAAGAAAATCGACAATCGAACAAATTTGTTTAATTTTATGAGAGCAAAAGCTGATATCATCAAGACATCAGGAATACTAATGGCATCACTTGCAGCCCCACGCACATAAATCGGTCGAAGTTGTCAATATTTTTAGGACTATAATTTACAAAAACTTGGAAGGCAAATGGGAGGATTTTTTATATGTATTTGTACATTGTACGTCTTAACTTTATATATATGTGTGTGTGTGTGTGAAATTACTAGGTGCGTGGTCAGTTTACACTATGGTCTATTTTGTTAGAGGAATGCAAAAATGGATAGAATGAAAAGGAGAAGGGAAGGATGAGGCATCTTGAGAAAGACAAAGTCTCCCTCATCTTTTGTTCAATTGGATGAAATGAATAGTAGAAAAGCTCCATGAGGTGATATATATATATATATTATTGAAATGAAGGAAAAAATAGTTCTTATAGTCTTTTTATCAATATATATACCCTCATTATTATCCATTTCAAATTATGCATGAACATTGAAATATCTCTAAATCAAAGGAGTAAATGAGCTAGTAGTGAATGGAGAGAGAGGCTAGAGTTTATCCATGAAACATGAAGGGTCCAAGCTTTATTATTCTGTATCCTTTCAAGTTTTTTCATAAGACATCAAGTGGCCAATCTTTATGTATAGCAAATGTTTGTTTTTTGTGAAACAGACAATAAAATTAAAATTAATTGGGTGTGACGGCATCAAACCCCATTATTTTAACATGCAGGAAAGATCATAGCTTTACAAAATGGGGTGTTGGCCTTTCAGAGAACATACCATTTGGGTAGCTTTGACCCTTTTAAAAACTCCATTGAGAACCCTATTGACCCTATCGTTTTGATTGAAATTGAATCAATAGCTAACTTCCAATCTCTTTGTGATATTTTCTTAACCAGTAATACCACATACAACTGTTTTTTTATGCTACTCTAATAAACAATGCTCAATAAAATTCCTGTTGGGATTAGATATTAATAAAATATATTATGGGCAGAAAAGAGAGATTTATAGTATTTGTTTTATTTATTAGTTGATTCGGTGGGTCGTGATAGTTTCGGGTCCCTAATTGATATCACTAATTCCCTTCTCCCGTGGACGTAAACGCGCGCGATTTTGTATATAAACAAAGGCTTGTTCGGGGAGATAACTATCCCTCAATCCTCATGGATGGACAAAGTTTGTCCATGCACAATGCACCTGCAGATGACAATCGCTTTGATCACTCCAGACAAAAGCCTCAGACTTACTCATGCATTATTAGTACTGTTACTACATGGAGTGCATTTTCAGAATTGAGAGTTTTGTTTCCAAATACATTGAACTTGGATATGATAAGAACTTCCCAAATTCAAAGAATTGGTTGTTTTAAGGGCTTCAGTTTGGATGAACTGGTCTGATTATCGCCAAGTCGTTATGTTCAGTTGGACTTTTTCGTCTTCTCGATTCAAGTCTTTATAGGGGCATGCGGACGAATTTCTTGTCATGTTAAAAATTAAAATTTTTAAAATAATTAAAACAAAATCAAGCAACTGATCATCCAATCACATGTAAGCTGCTTTTTTTTTGTCTTTTCATATTAGTTTTTAACCATTGGACAAATTGGCCAGATAATTGCATTAGATGGCTGGCTCTGTTTCATTGCAATCATGATGAGGTCTAGTTTAGATGTTCCTATTATTAGAAAAAAGGATTATTGTTTAACTATTTTGTAACTTTTAGTAGTTTGAAATTAACTTTTGCATTATCTTTCGGGAAAAAAATAAATAAATAAAATAAAATAAAATAAAATAAAATTAACTTCTGCATTAATGGATTAAGCATCACTTTAGGGTTATGAGCACTCCACATGACTTGAAACAATGTCAAATATCCTAGTTGGGATTTAAGTGAAACACTCTTTGGATAGCATTTATGTGAAGTTGAAGTTTGATTTTTTTATTTTATTTTATAATTATTTTATTTTTTTTCTAGTCTCCGAAAGCAACACTCTTTAAAAAAATAAAAAATAAAAAAATTATCCGTTTTCTCTTGTGAGTCGTCGACCCAATTCTAAAATTCTCTTGTAATCTAAGTATAAGCTTGTGTTTAGTTCAAGAATCAGTGCTAGCTCCATTTCGAAAACCTATATTTCATCATAGGTCTATGAAACCTTTTCGAGATAGAAATTGGTAACTCATTTTAGTATAAATAAAATATATATGGAATGCGCGCAATAGAAGGTTATTCAAGAAGAAGAGATTATCAGCCAATTCCCTCCTTCATATCACTGTAGAACCAGTACGCTTGAAGCTTCTCTCCTCACTTTTCAATGACTCAATTCATTCTAGGAGACTAATTGTGGAATGGGAGCTACCGTCTTCTATATTACGGCCTCCTCCAGAGTCACCGGATTGATAACATTGTGGAATTTCTTCCATTATCATCTCTGTATGAATGTGGTGCTAGCAACAGCTTTTCCATCTTTTGCCTGGTTGGGTTGCTCCTTCCTGGGCCTGTTGTTCTTTTGGGTTATGTTTATTTTGGTTAGCCTGGGCTAACTTGGAATATTTGTAACTTCTCTCCTTTTAATATTATCTTATTTTTCAAAAAAAAAATAATAATAAAAGAAAACGGGAACTACATTATAATGAGATCCGAATCTCAAAAAAGAAAAAAAGAAGGCAAAATAGTAGACGTTACGGATTTAATTGGATTAAGAATTG